GATGCCACTGTCAGTCACACGGCTTTGTTCTTAGTAGCCTCATGGTAAGTCTTGAAAATGTTAGCATAAGTACTCTGAATTTGCCTGTTTCAAACATTTTATTTTGCCTCTTCCAGATCCTTTGCATTTCCGTATGTAACTGAGAATTAGTTTGTCAACATTTGCCAAGAAAGGCCTGCCAGGTTTTTGAGTAGGGTTGTATCGACCATAAATTAATTGAAGAAGATCTGACACAACTCTTTAGAACTACTAATATTTTGTCTGAGCACTGAGGTCTCATAAACATGCTATGCCTTCCCATTTATTTAGGTCATCCTGGATTTGCCTTGAAAATGACTTTTAGTTTTCAGTGCATAAATATTGTTTCGTCAGATTTGCTAGTTAATTTTCTTGTTTTTGATGCTATTATAAATGGTATTGGTTTTTAATCTTATTTCTACTTGTATTATTTTTATACATAAATGTTTTTGATTTTTTTTTTGCATATTGGTCCTACAGTCTTGCTAATATTACTCATCTGTTTTTTAACTTTTCAGTGATTTGGCCGGGCGGTGGTGGCGCACGCCTTTAATCCTAGCACTCAGGAGGCAGAGGCAGGCGGATGGATCTCTGTGAGTTTGAGGCCAGCCTGGTCTACAAGAGCTAGTTCCAGGACAGGAACCAAAAAGCTACAGAGAAACCCTGTCTCGAAAAATCAAAAAAAAAAAAACTTTTCAGTGATTTTTTTGGGATTTCTTTATGTGCATGCTTAATGTCTGAGGAGGCCAGAAGAAGGCATTGGATCCTCTAAAGGTATAGTTACAAATGGTTGGTAGCCACCATGTGGCTCACTGGGAACTGAACCCAGGTCCTCTGGAAGAGCAGCCATTGCTCTTAAGTACTGAACCATCTCTCCATTCCCTTGTCATTTCTTTGTTATTTTTATTTTTTTTAATTTTTTTATTTATTAAAGAGTTCTGTCTCTTCCCCACTGCCGCCTCCCATTTCCCTCCCCTCTTTGTTATTTTTAAATCATAGTGTATTTCCAGTTTTATAAAATACTATTCCTGAGTCTATTAAGTTGACTTTTGTTCTCTCTTATTTACTGTGGTATGGTAAGATGCATTGATCCTCTGCCCTCAGCTTTGAGCCTGTGTGTGTGTGTGTGTTTATGTTTGACTATGGCTAGCTAGGAACTCACTATATTGACCAGGCTGGCCTCAAACTTACAGAGATCTGTCTGCCTCTGCCTCCTGATTGCTGGAGTTAAAGATTTCATCACACCTGCCCCCTACACTGAATTTTGAATGCTGAGACTAACTTTTGCCCATTTGGTCCCATCTATTCTACTTTTATCATGTTGGTAGGTTGATTTGCTAATATTTTGTTCAATATTATGGTATTTGTGTTCCTGAGTAATATGGGCCTGCAATTTTTTTTTTTCAGGACAGGGTTTCTCCTTGTAGCCCTAGCTGTACTGGAACTTGCTCTGTAGACCAGGCTGGCCTAGAACTCAGAGATTAGTCTGTCTCTGCCTCCCAAGTGCTGGGATTAAAGGTGTGCACTGCCACTACCCAGCTAGGGACTTTTTTTCTAATCCTAGAGCTATGAGTAATATCCATTTATGAACTGAACATGTGCAGAGGCCCTTCCATTACCCATCTGTGCTAGGAGGACAGGACCACAGACTTTGTATACTGCCTAGAAGTGAGAACGTAAAGGAATTGATGAAACTGGAAGTGATTCTTCCTTCCTCAAAACTTCAGATACACAATCTAGAACGCTGTTTCTGTGCATGCATAAGTATGTTGTGAGAGAGACAAAGGTGGAGAGGCAGAGGCAGAGACAGACAGATGTTGACGGAGGTTGCTAGTTCATTTCCCAACCACCCTGACTGGAAATAACCACACAGAAACTATATTATTTGCAATACTGTTTGGCCAATAGCTTAAGCATATTGTTAGCTAGCTCTTTTATCTTAAATTAACCCATTTCTATTAATTTTTGTATCGCCACATGGCTGTGGTTTACCAGCAAGGTTCCAGTGCATCTGTCTCTGGTGGCAGCTACATGGTTTCTCTTTGACTCCACCCACTCTCTCTCTATATCTTTTTTATCCTGGCTTTACTCTGCTAAGCCATTGGCCCAGAGCAGCTTCTTTATTAGCCAATGGCAATAAAACATATTCACAGCAAACTTCACTTCCCACATCAGACAGACTGTCAGGTAAGAGGCTCGAGGATGTACTCAAGTACATCCTCTTCATACTTCAAGTACCCATTCTTCATACTCCATTGCCTGCCCATGCAAGAAGCCAGTGAAGGGAACCTGGAGAAACTTTGACAACACAGTACTCCACTGTAGCCTCTACACAGCCTCTTCCAGGGGCCTGGAGCTCATTTTTCCCCCCAGATTTAGATACCAAGTAACCGCAATCCTTCTTACCCACCTATTGGCTACCTGGAGACGCTTTGGCTCCTCAGGCCATGTAGAAACCCAAATTCACATAATTACAGTTCAATGATACACAGTGGGAACTCCAGAGTCCCAAACTCTGATGACACCCTCACCTGCCAATCAGCTGAGGGCCAGCAGGCTGTAATTAAGCCTGGCGCCAGGAGTGGGAGAGCCTAGGAACAAAGGAAGCACAGACCTGGTGCCAAGTCCAGTTAGGTTTGATGCAAGGCTTCTCTCCAAACCTTCATTCTCTTATCTGTAAAATGGATTATAATCTCACCCACCTAATATATAGGGAAGGAAGATAAAGGCTCTTTTTCCAAGAGGCGTTGGGTGGGATGGGTTTGATCTAGGGGAAATGGGTCTGGTTCCAAGCCAGGTTCAGTGAAATCTCCAAACGTTGACTTAGCAAAAGTTACTTCTCAGGCTAGGGAGATAGTTGAGTAGGTAAAATGTCTCATGAGGTGTCGGGGACCAGCCCTGACATAAACCATTTCTTGTACCAGAGTGGAGGTGTGGGAAGTAAACACAACTCACATGACTATTCTGAGAGGGAGAGATTTTCAGTGATCCTTTAAGAAATCCTGAATTCACATCCTGAAATTCACCCGCGTTTATTTTCCAAACAGCCATGCCCTCCCAGCCCCCTCTGGGAAATGACGAGACCCTCTGGTCATCCAACACAGCCACCCCTTGTCTGGCTTTGTCTTCGCTAAAGATCATTCCAGACTTGAACTTTTCCATAGCTTCCTTGGTTTTACTTTGTTTTTCACATAGAATGTGTCTGACCTTCACTGCATTACTGCCACCCTTAGGGCCCGGAGACTGCTTGTCAGTCACTTCCCAGAGTGACTCCTTCCTCCAATTTTCCAGAACCACTCTCCCCTCCACAGCATCTCCTAAGCCCACTCTTGAACTCTCAACTCCCTTTTTGGTTTTTTGTTTTTTCTAAACAGTCTCACTGTTCTCAGGTCATCCTCAAACTTTTAATCCTCCTGCCTCTGGAATGTTGGCATGGAAGGTGGGTACCACCACAACATGTTGAGGAAATCCATTTTTTACATGAAGTAAGATTATTTTATATCTCTCTGTGTGCTTCTAAGTAACGTGTATAAAACTGTTCTAGCTTTCGATATGACATTGGAAGCCATACTTCCTTCCCAGCCCCGCCCCTGCCTCACCTAAGAGCTATGTCCTTTTAGGCTCCTTTTATATTTTTGTGTCTGGTGGATATTGAAGCATTTTGTTTTATTTTTATTTTGAGACAGGGTTTTCTACATTGTCCAGACTTGTCAGGAATATGTGAATTCATTTTGTGACCACGTGAACTTTGTTGTCAAATCAGGCATGTTCAGTACTCAGGTTGCATGACCTTCTTGCGCAGCTTTCTGATTTCCGCAGACACAATTTCCCTCATCTCACTTGCTTAATTTCTAGGTACGCAGGCCATTGTCCTCCAACCCTCTGCCTCTTTATTTTCTTAAATGTCTGTCCAGAAGTTCCCTTCAACATTGTAAATCTGCCACCTGGGGCATAGAATTCATTTTATTTTCCAGTATTTCCAGTTGCAGAAGACACACAAACACCGCACAAAGAATGCCCTGTTCGAACGCCCTGTTCTCCCTGCAGAACTCCTCACGAAGCTCCAGCAAATGCCCCCTGATGGCTCTTGGAGACAGGAACCAAATGTCACAAGTTGCTAGGTCTCTCCTATCAGCTTCTATACCCCGATGTTTGGGAAGATAACAGGGCAGTTAAAGGTAGGATGTTCTCATGTGACTATGTCTGGATTCTGGTTCTGAGAGGATGATGCCCGAGGTCACTCTGTGTTCTTCACATTACATTCTGTTGGTGAGTAAGAGGACCTGGTATTGATTTCTTGCACATGCATGTGTGCAGACACCCATACTCTGTGTGGAGGTCAGAGGAGGACATTAGATGTCCCTCTCTGTCCCTCTTTGTCTTATTCCTTTGAGGCACTGTCCATCACCGAACCTGAAGCTGGGCTGACAAGCAAGAAGCCCCTGTAATTCTACTGCTTTACCTCGAACAGTTCAGGGTCACAGGCTGCACAATGCCATGCCCAGGTTTCATGTGGGTGTTGGGATCCAAACATAGGATCTCCCGTTTGCACGGCAAGTGCTCTCACCCCCTCCGCCATCTTTCTGGTCTCCTGAGTTGGGCTCAGCCATAGTCCTGGGCAGAGCTGCTGACTTAGGGCCTGTCTTTGATCAGATCTCTCTTGCTTAACCATGTTACTTTTTTAAACAGTAAGTACATATGTGGAAACACTTCAGCGTCATGCAAATGTCCTGTGGATACTGTTGGTTCTAGCATCCACAGATGTTTCTTACATTACATAATTACCATAATCATTGCCAAATGGTGTTTTTCTTCTTTTATTGCATGGCTTCTATAGTAAGGAAATCTTTATTTTCTGTTCATAAATTCATTTGTTTGTTTATAAATTGGTAGATTTTCTTCATTCGATGCATTATAATCCACTGCCACTATTGTTTTACAGATGTTTTGTTTTCGCTCTTTCTATGGGTGATTGCCGGCTTGTCCAGGGGTGTGCCACATGCGTTCTGAAGCCCCTGAAATTGGAGTTACAGACCATTGTGAGCTGCAGCGTTAGTGCTGGCAACTGAACCCAGGTTCTCTGCAGGAGCAATCAGTGCTTTAACCTCTGAGTCATCTCTCCAGCCCAGGTTATTGTCATGATCTAATTACACTACCCTGGTCAGTAGTCCCTGCCAGCCGACTTCTGTGTCCTCTGACATGTCCCCATCGTTTGTCGAGCATTCTCCTGCTTCTAGACACAATAAAAGTTCCAGGTTTGGCCTGATGCTCCCCTGGGCTCGGCACGAGGATCACCTCCTCCTCTGAAAGGTTGGGTTGTCACTAAGAACAGATCCCCTCAACCAAATGTTCTCATTGATAGCCCCAAGCTCAAGCTAATACTGGAAGAGTCCTGCCTTGGTTTCCCCTTTCCACACCTGAATCTTCTGCATCTAAGAACCATCCAGGCCCTTATCCATGATGTCCTTTTCCTATGGTACACCCCTACAGAGGCCCATCTCTGACCTTGACATCCTGTCACCAGGATACTGGAACCTCGACTCCACAGAAGCAACCGTGACCTTCCTCAGATTGTCTAATGGCCCCATCTAGATGATCTCAGGGAGGGAGGGAGGGAAGGAAGAGAGGAAAAGACAGCAGGAATAGCATGGTTATTCATAGCTTTAGAAGATCTCTGGGAATTTCTGGAATGTTCTGTTTGTCTCTACCCCCACCCCCTTTGTTGTTGCTGCTGAAGGTCCAGGGAGAACTGACATGCAGTTCTCATTCTCTGCATCCCCCAAATGCTTTGCCAGCTCTACACAAGCATTTTGGTGCAGAGTTTACAAAATGAAAAGACTGTTAGAAGTCAGGGTGGATGGATATGTTTCAATATGATCTCTTGGCATCCGCTCAGCCAAGGTGGCCCCTAGGTGTGGAGGGCGACGCACATTCAATGTCCTTTCACACCTCCTTCCACACTCAAGAGATGCTCTGCTCAGCAACATGCCAACTGGCTGGATGCTGCTCTGTTCCCTTCTGCCGGCCTCTCTCAGCACAGGCTTTCAGCCTCAAAAAAGCGAGGTGTGTGGGCCTCTCCCTCCCTGTCCCAGAATGAGCAGGTGTGGCAGAACTGCCTGGGAGCAGGCTTGCTTCAAAAAAATAATAGCTTCGAGAGTTGGCGCCTCCTGCACTCCAAAGATGACAGCTCTCAGAGTCTTGCCCTGACCCACCAGGACTGTGGAATGGAGAAGGGGGGGCACATGGAGGAGAAGAAAAACTCTTGACACTTGCTGCAAAAATCAGGGTCCGTAAGAAAAATCGAAGCCACTCCGAGTATTTCAAAAAGCTGGACTGAGTTCAGGGAACTGGTTCCGTGGAGGAGAAGGGCTGGGAAGCCATCGGCTAACAGTGGGGCAGTCTGGTGTCCAGTAGTTGAAGGAACTGCTTCCACACTAGCTGCAAAAGGAGATGGGGACTGCTTAGGCGCAGGGGCCGGGTGGAACTGGAACCGCAGATGGTTGGGTGGTTCTGTAGGGGCTGAAGCCACAGAAGGGAGCTCCCTTCAGTAAAGAGGCTGGGCGGTAGACAGCGGTATCCCAGCTTCTGCCCTCTCTTGCCTATGCCTTCCCATTGTCCCAACACAGCAAGACACCAGCTGCTGAAGGAGCCTGGGAAAATCAGCTTGCCAGAAATGAGCAGATCTGCAGGTCAGCACATAGGCAGCACCTTGCTCACTTGCCCATAACGTACTTCACAGAGCCGAAGAACTTTCTGGAAAAGCAAAAAACTGCTTGTCATTGCCCCAGGACTCTGAATATGGTTGAGTTCCGGTAAGAGCTCACTGGGCAGAGGAGTTCCCTCTTCAGTGTTACACAGCTTCACGGCATTGCCACCAGAATTGCACAAACTCGGTCCAGGCTGTGGAGCAATAGGAAGTCAAATGAACTCTCCGAGGCACACAGCTGGAAGACAGCAGGAGAAGGCACAGGCTGTTAGGCGGGACTCTAAGCCCCAAGCCTGTAGTCAGGTTGGGGGGGGGGCAGGGTGGGAGGGAGCTGATGGCTAGATAAAATTCTGAGAAGAGGGTGTTGAAGGTGTCACAGCAAAGTGAATGACATCATGTGGTTGGAGAATGTGTAAAGAGGAAGCCGAGACTGAAGCAGAGGAAGCTAAATTTGCTATGTAATAGCCAGTCTCAAGAGGAAAACATTAGTCTCTTATGACTCCCAGTGTCTCAAGGTCCCGCGCCCTTAATACTGAGGATGAAGCTCAAATACAAGCCACACTGAAGCCACAGATGCTCTACCTTAAGTCGTGGGCTTCCAGGTCTCACAAGAGGAAGTAGAGGACAGGGGGACAGGAAGTAGAGTGTGGGTCTGCCGTACAGCAGCTTTGGAGGCAGAGCTCCTTTTCTAAGTTGGACGTTCTCTGCCGCACACACCCTGACCACACCTGGGACAGCTCGCCTGCATTGGCTGTCACTATTGCCAGGCGGCCACCATGCATCAGATCCCGCACCCTCTGAGACCTGCCGCTTGGCTCCGACTGCCCTTCTGCAGACTGTGCCTAGCTATGTCCTCCCCGCATCACTTCAGATACCCGGGACAGAGACGCTTGTAGCTGAAGACCCCAGCGACTGGGGAGGTCTGGGAGGCGGCTTCAGGTCTTCCCTGTCCCTCGGGTGCTTCTTTCAACCAAGCCACTCCTGGCACCAAACCCTCAGGCCTCATGACTCACCCGACAGCACTTTCACTTCCTCTCTGGAGCAGGCCTTTGACCTGCTATCATTGCCATTTGCAGCAGCTCCCTAGGCCCTAAGGAGCAGCCCAGGCCCTACGGAGGGCAAGAAGCCTGGACCTAAGGGTCCAGACACTCTGGTCTATTGTAAAGCATGGCAGAGGGGGCTCTGGGGCTGCTAGGAGACACTGGCCCATGCCAAGCCCTGAGAGTTGGTGGCCCTCAGCAGCTTGGCAACCTGGGGATACAGGAAACTGGAGTGTGAAACTGGAATTGAATCTTATTTTATACTCCCTGATGGTCATTAAAGAGACCCACCTTCATTGATTCATTTCCTCCCTAACAAATCTCTTCTGGTTCTCATGTTTACAAAGAGCTCATAGTCCGCCTGGGGGAATATGGGCAAGGGGACAGAGCCACTGAGAGCTCGTAGTCCACATGGGGGAAGCAGGGCTAAGGAACAAATCCATCAGCAGGAAACCCCAACAACATGAGAGCAAGAGAAAGGGAAAGGCCGTGGAAAGAGTGGGGCAGGGGCAGGCAGTGTGGTGGGTTGTCACAATGCATCTCCAGGGCAGACATCAAGCCCAGGGGGCTTGGAACGCTTTAATTTTGAAAAGCTCTCCTGACACACACCCTGGGATCTTATTTCAATTGTCCAGGCTGACTTCAAACTCTTCCTCGGCCTCTCAGCCTTCAGAGTACTGGGATTATAAGAATATAAACGTGACTGGCTAAAAAGGAGGTCTCTTTCTCAAATAGAATATAAAACTATATTCAAGTGTGAGCACGGGCATGATAGCTCAGCAGTTAAGAAGATTTCCTGTTCTTGCAGAGGACTTGAGTTCAGGTCACAGCCTCCTGTAACTCAGACTCCAAGGAAATGATGCTCTCTTCTGTTCACCACGGCAACTCCACTCACATGGACACACCCCTGAACAGACACGTTCACATATACATCTTCAAAAATAAAATTAAATCTTGAAAAAGGAGTGAGTATTGGGGCTGGGCATAGTCAGTGATGGAGTGCTTGCTTAGCATACATGAGGCCCTGAGTTCAGTCCACAACACTGCAAAAAACTATCTAGAGGAAGAATAGAAAACCCCCAAACAGTACAGAAGCCTAAACAACTTTGGTGATATCATCACACATTTATCAGAAATATTTACAAAGAGATGCTTCCTCATTTCAACTGGGCTTCTCCTCTTCTTTAGGACATTCGGTAGCTCCCAGTTTCCCCGGTGCCTCATGAATAACAGCAGCATAGCCATTTTGCTACAGGTATGTGGCCCAGCTCTAGTTGAAGAGGACCAAGCCTGGCTGGATAACCCAGCTGTGTAGCTTGATGTGGGCTACACTCTCTTTGGTCTCCTACTGACTGCGGAACTGCAAGGAGAAGTTATTGTTTCTGAGCCTTGGCTTTGATCACCTGTAAAACAAATCAATGGGTTGAATCTCTCTCTCTCTCTCTCTCTCTCTCTCTCTCTCTCTCTCTCTCTCTCTCTCTCTCTCTCTCTCTCTCTCTCTC